GGTACTAATACAACAGTCCATTCGTGTTTAAAAACTCTTCATCCGATTAGCGTTTTCATGAAGGCGGGTTTGTTAAAAGGCCAGTGGTACTGGTTGGGGACGGGTCCATTCACGTTGCACTCGAAGAAGGAGAACATGGGGAACCAGATGCGTGCCCGGCGGCTGTGCTGGTAGGCGCGTGTGTTGGCCAGCGTGTGGTAGTAAAGGAAGAGGCGAGTGGTTATGTAGAAGGCGATGAAGACGTCGATGGAGTAGTGCTCGTGAGCCGCCAGGATGAAAAAAATCCCAAAGAGGTTTAGCACCCAGGAGATGGTGTGGATCAGATTCCAGTTCCGAGGCGTGTCTGAACATAGAAGAAATTTAAAAAATAAAGCACTTTCATTTAAACTGCATAAATGAAAAACACCTTGTCTTTGTGGCCGACTGTGTACCCCTTTAATACCTTGTCAAAWATTGTAAAAAGCCCCAACTTGATAGTTTTGTTTTTTCTCATAATTTGGCTAYYAYGAAAAAAAAGCTRATCCATGCTAGTTCTTAGCCTCTCCAATGCTAACGCAAATGAATAGGCTCATTCTCATTTGCTAACACCAGTCTCTCAGTACTGGTGCCGGCCTATTATTAATCAGATCAATAGCTGACTTAGGAATAGATATAGCCTCCTGCTACAAAAATGTAGCAACTGTTGGTTGCGTAGTAATCTTAATTTTGGCCCTCATATTGCGCCATACAACAGGGAACAGGCAGATTTTGTTGCACTTCATAAGAAAAAGGTTTACCAGGAGACGGTGTGGATCAGATTTTAGTTTTAAGGCCTGTCTGCACATATAAGAAATTATTAAAAAATACATCTAGCTTTAATTACTTATTTTTTGGCTGTGTATTAACAAAAAAAAAGCACTTGTTTGAGTTCCAAAAAGATACGCTGGGAAGGTGAATATATTAAAACTGGCATTTAAAATCACTTTGAGTTTGAATTAATGCATTGTCCTTCCGTAGCAATTAATATTTAAATGTCAAACATTTTCTAATTTCAAACTATTCTAAATGCCTCGCTTGTTTGTAACTCTGTCCAGCTATCCTTTAAATAAAGAAACAACAAGCCTGTTCAAAACCTAAAACAAACTTTGGTTAAATGTTTGCATAAATTTATCACAGATGCACATTTTATGAAAATACTGGAGTTTTCAAATATTTTATCTGGATGCATCTAGACTAACAAGTGAATGGATACTCACATTCAGTCACGAAGAAGTTGAGCATTGTGATGACCACAGTGTGACCACTGAACATGTAGTCTCCACAGGTCTGGACTCCGGTCAGAGTCATGCCGAAGCCGCTCCATATCGCCAACGCTCTCTGGAACTTCCCCCAGCTATCACCGTACGTCTGCGAAGACAAAAAAATATAATAAATAAATAAATATATGTGGCAGCAGAAACACTGAGACATAAGCAGCCGCTTAGTTTTTTTCTTCTTCTCACCTTACTGGCACATTTCAGGTGCTGCCCAGGCACCGAGAGCGAGGTGACAAACATGGTGCAGCAACGAAGCAAAAACACCGTCCCCATCAAAGAACACAGCCGTCTGAAGAGGATTGATCTGCACCGGAGACGCAACGAGTAAACGTGACGAAGCTGCTGCATATAAAAGCAATGATGCACGAAGAGCAGTGAAAGGAYTGCAGAGGAAAATGGGACTACCTGTGTTTGTGAAGGAGCAAGATCAACAAAAACATGTAGCACAATATAAGGCCACACGCCTCGGCTATTGCAAAAGCCCAAGGGATTCTGGGTACACTGAAAGTACAGAAACACGTATATCAGGTTGTAGATTGGATATAACAGCCGAAGAGTGTGCTCACAAACAATGGCGTTAAAGTTGCTCAACACTACTGCAGTAAGACGTTTACTGATAATTATTATTGCTGTAGGGGTCACCTRGAGTGAGAAAACAAGATTTTCTGCCTCTAAAGCAGGCCTCGGACGGGCCTGGAAAGAAGACAGAAACTCTGTTCCTCTCTGAACTTTATTTAGGCCATGACAGGTCATTCTAACCGTGGAAGAGAACCTCTCTTTCTCTTAAATCAGATAATGGACGGAATAATCTCCATTGTTCATGATTCATTTCACAATTATATTACTGTGTTTACAGTAAAATAAAAACAGTGATTTGCTTAAACAATGAAACATTGAAATCAGATTCTCTGTGATTCTTTAATAATAATAATAATAATGCATTAGTTTTATATAGCGCTTTTCGAGACCCTCAAAGACGCTTTACAATTTTCATGCATCATTCATTCACACACTGATGGCAGTAAGCTACATTGTAGCCACAGCTGCCCTGGGGCAGACTGACAGAGGCGGGGCTGCCATGCTGCGCCACCAGCCCCTCTGACCACCATCAGTAGGCAAGGCGGGTGAAGTGTCTTGCCCAAGGACACAATGGCATGTAGGCATGGCGGGTAGTCGAACCTGTGACTTGCGGGTCCCAAAGCCGGCTGCTCTACCACTACACCACAGCCACCCCAGCCACTTTTATACCATTATAAATCTTTAAGGCACAATGAGAGGAAAGAAGTTGTTCTACTTTTTTCCATGTGACAGGCATTATCTTTGATTTAACAAATGCATAAACATTCTTAGTTAAATGACAAATGAATCACGAACAATGGAGATTATTCTGTCCATTATCTGATGAAGAGGAAGAGGGGTTCTCTTCCACGGTTAGAATGACCTGTCATGGCCTAAATAAAGTTCAGAGTGGAACAGAGTTTCTGTCTTCTTTCCAGGCCCGTCCGAGGCCTGCTTTAGAGGCAGAAAATCTTGTTTTCTCACTCGAGGTGGCCCCTACATTGGAAAACACACAAGATAAACAGTTTACCTGTCCAGGAATATATCAGGAAGGGGTGGGTACGTCCTCATGTCTGGGACACGCTCATGTACAATGACCATGACAAATGAGGTGAAGCCACACACTAGAAACACATACACGGAACTGATTATGGTCTTCCAGACCTCGGGGTCCAATCTGCCAGCCAGTGGCTGCTGACACGTCCCATTGGAGTGTGTTCGACACAGCAGATCAGATCCAGATCTATCGCTGCCCCTCAGCCGCAGCTCGGTCCCGTTATACAAGTGATCGCCCCTGTTAAGCCCTTTCCTGCTAGCAGRGCCGCAGCTCCAATCAGATTTCGCAGCACACAGTGAGAGTCCAGCAGGAGCATCAGGAGGCCAGAGACCCAGCTCCTCCAGCTGGGGCTGATTTTGTCTTTGGAGCCGACGGAGGGCTATGGTCAGCCTTTTGATGTGTCCTAGCACAGTGAGGCTCAGCGGCGGACCCCGCAGGTCGGCCTCAGTCAGAGCCAGCAGGCTGAGGCCGTCGAGGCGGTGCTGCGTGCACAGCAACTCCACATATTCCCCGAAACCCTCCTCCTGCAGCCACCGGGCTACCTGGTTACAGCTCCAAGAACTCACGCTGTCATCTGACTGCGCCATCCTGCTGCACACAGAAACACACAAAGGCTTCAACAAACACAAATAATATATATATATAAATATATCTGCGTTGATGTCAGTGTACACCACAGTAATGTAGTTTACATAAAACAGCTACAKATCAAACCAAAACATAAACCAGTTCCATACCGCTTTCTGCTGTTGTTTCATAATTTAAAAAAAGAAATAAATTTAAAAAATCCAGATTTCAGGTAAAACAAACAAACTGAGTCAACATCTCTTTTTTCAGACGGATCCAAAAATCGACGATTCTTTTTTTTTTTACTGTTTCAGTTTTTTCTCTCTCCTTGTTTTTGCTCTTTGACCTTCATGATAAGCTGACCTCGTTMTTGCTCATCCTGAACTCCAAAGGTCTGCAGAGCTCCGACAACACGAATGCTGAGCGTTAAAACGACTGATAGTGAAAAGTCAGCTGCACACAGGTCCAAACGCTGACCGCTAAGCTGTCAGGCTACCAGTAAGAAAAATAAAAGAAGAAAATTCCATAAATAATGAAAAAGTGCTTATCTTATCTTTAAAGCCAAAAAAACGTCAATTCAGCAGTTTTATTTCAAATTGATCTAATAAAGGCTGTCAAGACACGTGAAAAATAACAGTTAAAGCAATGTTGGGACATTTTCCATTTAACAACTTTACTTAAACAATAACTGGTTTGTCATTCTTACAATTTTAGCCTCAGTTATTTCAGTAAAACCAGACAAACTGAACCGGTTCTGTTTGGTACTGACAGTTCGGACTGRCATACATTCCTACACCCTGTAATTAATGCAAATTGTATTGATGTTGCATCAGTAAAAACCCACACAGAACAAAGATCCAGTTTAAACAGACAGTATATGAAATCTTCTCTGAAACCTGAAGAAACTCACCAGGAAAGCTGCTTCTCTCCTCCATAAAATAGAAATCAGTTTTTTTTAATCAAGCCTCTAGATTTGTCTGGCTTTCTCTGGCTGGAGGTTTTACTTGGGACAAATAAGTGCCATGTCAGCTCATTTGACTAGTGAGTCACAGGGACACACAGCTGGGAGAGAGAAAAGCTCTTCAGTCTGTGAGACAAAGAAAGCCTGACAAAGAGCCTACAGTTCCTCCATCAGAGACACAAAAAAGCCAAACTGAATTATGTCTTTTTCCTCAACATTAACAMGTTTGAACAACTCAGAACACACAGGTTTAGTCAAAGGAATAGCATGTTACTGTCATAAATACATGTTAAACAATTACATTTGAGTTTTTCTTACCAGATATCCACTGTCACAATGCTGTCACAGGGTGTAGCCCAAGTTTCTGCTTGTTTGTCCACTCCCAAGAACAGTGTGTCTCAACCAACATGTTTCTGAAAACCAGGCAACCCCAAACAGGAAGTTCCCTGAACAGAGCAGCAGCAGWAAAGAAGAGCTGGGAGCTTCCTGCAGGGCTGCTGAGATCACACTCTGACACCTGCTGGACACATTTAGGATCAAAGGCAGTAAAAAAGTCGAAATAAGCTCCAAATGGGGTATTTTATTGTGAAATGTTTTGTATGCGTGCACATGCATATTTAATMTGTTAATTAAACTGATTATATCAACTCTGTCTTACCTGCTTAAATTCTGGAGTTACTGAGTTTTATTTTGTTAAAACCTTTTGTTTTTGCCCTTGTTCTTTTTCTTCAAACCAAACTCTAATGGTTGTTCTTACWGTTAATTTCTGTGTGTGCGTGTTTATTCCATATATGTTTAATTAAATTAGTTAAAAAAACAATTGGTAAAATCTGGGATCACTCGGACTCGAGGCCCATGTTTTAATGAAATAKATCTGCTTCGTTTAGGTTTATTGATTCATTGTTTTTTTGACTGTATGAAGCTGTAACACTAAAATAGCAGCTTATATTATGTGCAAAAAGATTTAAATCATTCTCAAATTTATTTACGTTTTCTATCC